TATATATATATATATATATATATATATATATATATATATATATATATATATATATATATATATATATATATATATATATATATATATATATAATATCATGCGGGGTGGGTACCTACAAACCCGTTGTCATCCCCGTATCCGGTCAATTTTTTTTCAATCCCCGCCCCATATTTTTACTGGGGCGGTTAATACCCAGGAATTTCTGGGTGGAGTGGGGCGGAGCGGGGATTCATTGGTGCATAGGAATGGCAGCGGGTCGATTATAGGACGGGTTTATCTAAACCCAAGATCCGATTCGCGAAAAATATATAAATCCAGACCCGTTTTAGCTTAGACTCGGATCCACCCCAACTCATACCCGAATTAAACGGTTCAGACCAGCCAGATCCGCTAGACCCGTTAACATAAAAAAATAAATTATATATTGAACTTTCATAATATTTTGCTTGTATATTTAATAAAAAAATCTCAAAATTAAAATACAATATTTAAAAAAATTGTACAAGTGATATAAAGTGAATAATAAAATTATATAATTAATTATATTTAACTTCTACAATAAAAAAAATTCAAAAATTCAGAAGGCAAGATGACTAGCCGTGGTCGACAAGTTTGATAGATATTACTTACGAGAAACAAGATTCAAAAAAGTGAAACAGCGAAAAATCGGCAAATGAGAATATACAGGATGAAAGTTGGAAGTTTGATGAATGAAATCCTAAATTAATTTGTATATAGAATAATTATTAAATATAATATATTTATGCGGATCGGTTATGAGTCGGTTCCAATAAACACGGTTACCCGACAAACCCTTACTCATTGTCATCCCTATCGGTGCAGGTCAAATTGCAGTCCCTAGTCGTATATATTAAATAGGTAAATTCTAGAAAATATATAAAGAACAAAATATGTTTATTGTTACCTTCTTGTCACGGTCCGTCCGTTTCTTATGAAATGAAGGGGATTAAAGTTGATCCACCAAGCAAGCCCAATGAAAAATGATCTTACTAGGTAGACATGGCCCCGAGTAGGGTCAAACCTGCCGAATCCGGATCCAACTTTAATGGGACCCAAAACTGACCTGTGGGGAGGCAGGCCTGGGACGGGGCCACGTGGATCCGGGTCGGATCCAGGTCCAACTGGTTTTTCAAATATTCTTTTTTTTTTTAGAATTACAATAAATAAAAAAAAGGTAAATTGGAACTTGAAAAATACTTGTGCTTAACTCTAAATTAAGAATTACGAAAAAAATTGAATTTAAATAATCAACAATTTTTAACTTCAAATTATTATTGAAGAAATTATCCACGTTTCAATCGAAGTTTTACACGCATTGTGCTTGTGTCGTTCAATTATTGATACATGCTTAGTTCAAAATCGGTATATATAAACGTGTCTTCGGTTGACAGTGGCGTTTGTATTTGAGGGGAGTCGAATTCAATCGGATGCTTCTCTTGTACATGCCGTAGTAATGAACCATAATCAATTGTGAATTCAAAATTGTAATTTTTCTATAAAAAAAAAAGCAATATTAATATGCAATAAATAATTTAGAATGAATAAATGTAATTACCGTGCAACACTTGCATTTTGTTTGGTTTTTCCGGATGCGAGCGTTGTATTTTGTCGAAATGAATAGTAGAAGAAATTTTTACCAACATTTTTAGAAAAATTGAAACGATTTAGACTTTGAGAAATAAACTAAATAAAATGAAGGTTGTGAAAATAAATTAGTGAAAATTGGGTTGTAGGTATTTAACTATTTATAAGTGAAAATAATAATTGAGAGATTTTTCAAAATTTCAAAAAAATTCAAAATTCAATATTTCTCTTAAATTACACGGGTTAAACCGTAATCCTTTATATTTTTCAAAATTAAAAAAAACATATATATATATATATATATATATATATATATATATATATATATATATATATATATATATATATACATTTGTTATTAGTGGAGATTTTTAACATTAAGAATAGTGATTTTGACAATTAATAATTTATTAAACATTAGCTATTGAATTATTATAATCATTTTCAATTTTATTCATATTTATATGTTTATAGTTAGTAATATTACCATAAGTTGTTTCGTCCGAATGGCTAGTACTCTACACAACCACTGCATTTTCGTGATATTTGCACATTAAAAATTTCGGGTCCCTTGGTCGGGTACTTGGGTCTCGGGTCGACAAAAATAAGACCCGAAATCGACCCATGCAAACTCGGGCCCGGGTCCACGGTGGTCGGGTTCGGTCCGGGGCCGGTCGGGTTTGGGTCCGACCCAACCCGTGGTTATGTGTACTGGACTACTATTAGGCACAATTGTAGAGATATCTTCTAGCATCCTCCATTTAATGCAGAAATACCTAGGGAAACTTCGATTGTATATATGTGGTAGAAATTCGTAGAAGTTAATCTTAGCTATTAGATTAAGATGATCACCACCATCCGTTAAGGAGGTGAATTTGTATAAAAAAGGGCAGTCTC